CAAAGCGCGTCCCAATATCCGACTCCTAGATACAGATAGAGCGGAGATAATAGCGCAGACAATAATTCAAATTAAGCTTATGAAAGCAAATAAATCCGGCGAGTTCCCGATGAAGTACGTCTAATTATTTAAATTAAGATTCTCGAACGCGTCGCTATTTAGGGTATATTTAATCTCCTAAAAAAACTATTAAAATATTTTTCTAAATCTTATCCATTCTACCTAACGACTCTAAAAGATAATAAATTTATTTTCGAGATACTAAGCCATAATAAATCATCTACCCGAATCTTCTTCACTCTTCAAATCATATTATCGACATTATCGAATCTGAACAATTTTTCCAATTTATTTTTAAATATATTGAATCATATTCCGAATCTTCATAGAGCTTTTCAAAAAATGTGTCAAATCGTAAAAGATCGTTATAATTCTTCCTAATCAATTCTCGAACGTAATATTCTTTCTCTTAGCGAAATATATTATTATATTTTAGTGGTAATTTGAAATAATACTATAGTGATATATTAATTAAGAGCACTAATCTAGAATCTAATTTTTTATAGGAAATATTGGAAACATTATACATATTTCTAACTCGAATATCGTATAATTATATCATCCACCACCTATCTTATTTTTTCTACCCTCATACTAAATAAGCTTACCCTCAACCATACTTCCGCCCCCAACTACCATCTGCTATCAGACTCTGATCGTGCATCACCATGTCAGTCCGGACATGCGCTTCAGATCGGGAGAATGGATTGAGGCGCATTGCATTCGGAGCCTTTTGTCCTGAGCCCGAGCCTTCACCGCCTCCAAAGACGCCCGGAAGCTGAGAAGGCCTCGGATGAGGGCAAAAAACGCCACTGCTTAGACCCTTCGAAGCTTTCAAGTACCATAAGGATCCCAGGGTTCCCTGAAGGTTTCCGTACAGGCTCAGGGCTTTTTAGACAGCCCAAGGTGCCTCCGGTGGCTGACTTTGGCCGTGCCTGAGGAAGCCACAGCGAAGCCACAGCGCAGCCCTACCAAAAGACGTTTCGGAAAACCGGCCCTGGCCTCTTGGGCGAGTAGAAGGCTCCTGAAAGCGAAGTGTGGCGAAGGGAGCCGGTTTAGGGCTTTAGGGCTTTTAGGGCTTTAGGGCTTTAGGGCTTTAGGGCTTTTAGGGGTTTAGGGTTTAGGGCTTTTAGGGGTTTTAGGGGTTTAGGGCTTTTAGGGGTTTTAGGGCGGCTGGCCTTGGGATGCTCGTGCTCGTGCTTGGTCTGCCAGGGCCAGTGCCTGGAGCGGAAAGGGGAAAGGAGTCCTAAGTTCCTAAGGGTTTAGGGTTTAGGGTTTAGGGGTTTAGGGTTTAGGGTTTAGGGTAAGCCCCCTTTCCTTTAAGCCAGTACTTCGAACCCGTGATGCGCCCCCCCCCCCCCCACCCCCTGCCAACGCAGCGGCGGAGGCGCCTGCCGCGCTGCTTCGCGCGGTGGGGGGCCCTCAGTCCGGAGCTCCAAGTTGCTCCAAGTTCCAGAGATGCAAGCAACGTCTTTCTTTTCTGGGACCGCGGCGTGGAGTTCGTGAGGTGATGGCTGACATTGGCCGCTGCACCTCGAGCAAGCAGAGCTCCTCCGGAAACCTTCAAAGAGACTGCTGTGCTTTCCCTGGCCTCGCTGTGAGGATCATGTGGTGCACGTGGAGTTGTTGTGGCTGTGGTGCCTGGAGTGCATGACAAGTGCACGCACTGAGAGCCCGAGAGCGAGACACAGATGCTTCAAGCACGCGGCGAGGGGTGCGGGTGGCCACGGCAGCAGACGATGGCCGCCGACGCGCCTGGCAGCGTCACAGCTCTTTGATCCGGATCCTACCTAAGGTGCAGACCTGAATTCCGACAAGACTAGTAGCAAGTTTGCAGAGGTAACCACCGAAAAGGATCAGGGCATATCCGAAGCAGGGATCACCGGACGGAAAAATTCATGGGACTAAGGCTTGGCATGTCTAAAGGCCCAGGCTTCTTCTGCTGAAGGCCGAGCGGTCCGAGGTGTCAAGGGCCCTGCCCACGCGAAGACGAGCGAACAGGAAGCGTCCCCCTCTTTCTCTCTGCTCTCTTTGCCCTGAGGCTGCGGCTAAGGGGAGTCGTCTTCGTCGGCCGCGACGCCTCGGACGGCTCTCTCTGTCATCACAGCAGTCGATCTTTCAGCACGTCGTCTAAATTGACAACGCGAACATACGCGGACCGCTAGTATAAGGTTCCTGCATCACCGATGGCCCGTGCACTCCGAGGAGTTGTCGGCCCTGGTCATAGAATTGCAATTCACTTTCCTATGTTTGAGCTATTCAGTGAACAGTGGGTTTTTCGGTTTGGGGTTCTACCTTCTACCCATGCCGTCTTGTGTTCTCGATGTGCAGAGCATCGCAGACTACAATACATCAAGCACTCGTACAGCCAAAAAATTGCATGATTTCCTGCAAAATTACTCTGCTACACACGGCATGCTCGCAGAAACAAGTGCTTACGCACTACTCTGTGTCATAGGCACATATATACATATGTTTAAATTGCACATACATACATACATACATACATGCATGCATGCATGCATGCATGCATGCATGCATGCATGCATGCATGCACACACACACACACATACACGTCCACACATACAATGCGCAACTGCATGACAGTCTACGGATACCCATGTTTATTGCGTACATGCACACCTGCATGCATCTGCACATGCATGTGCATGCACAGATGACACAGATGCATGCGGACACACATAGCTACATACAACATGCAGATGTGCATACATAAAGCACATACACACAGGCACGCAGACACAGACACAAATCTACATACAAGTACACGCGCACTTACCCATCCATGTAACTATACATATGCATTTACATACTGGTGCCTACACACATGGACAAAAACCGCACACATAAGATATTCATCTGATGCAGATGTTCGGAAGTATGCATATACCTAAATGAAATTTATGCATAGCAGCGTATGTATCAGTCCGTGTTCAAGGGTGCCTGTCTCACACATCAGGCGAGGAAATGCAGTGTGAACTCTTCACGGCGGAAATGCACATCAGGAATCAGGACACAGTAATTGGGAAAGGACATGAAAGGACATAGATGAAACTGCAAGATGTGCTGCGGACGCCGGCGAGTTTTGCACTCACTCCTATGTTCCACCAGCAAATGATTATGTAGAAGCTGCATCTACGGTTCCGAAATTTGACATGCAAATGCCCCCGCAAACCACAACCAATCTGCATACAGTGGGCAGATAAGCTTTGGTACCGTCACTTGCAATAACAGAAACCCCCGGTAAGCGAGACTGACAACCTTCGAAATTAGAGCGAACATGGGTATGAATGCATATGTGAATGTAGCGATCTGCATGTATGTACGGCTGCCAGGGAGATTGTCCAGAAATCAT